TTTCATATTCTGATAGGATATGATTTAAATTCAAGTTCTGGATGACTCCTTGGCAGTTCTGTTTTTTGTTTTTTTGAATTGTTTATTTTTGTCGTGCAAGGATTTACAACAGTGTCTATGTAACCACAATAGCCATAACAGACGCATTCATATGCAACATATAAAAAACATTTTCGTAATATAATTATACTCAGCACATTCTTGTAATTTAATGAACATGAAAGACAACATTAAGCAGTGTTGGATTCAACATATATGTCTGTAAAAGTGTTTAAGTGGCTAGGTCACAGGTTGTATTATATATATAGATAACAAGCTTAACTAAACTTTTATATTGTTATGTTGTCAGAGTAGTTTTAATTGTATGTCGTTTAGTAGCGGTTGGCTGTGCTAGTATAGTTAAGTTGTAATCTCATAGCATACCATGTAATTATAGCTGGTGAATGTGTGATGCATGAGTAGGTCCTGCTTTAGAGACTTAGGGTATGAAGGCCCGTAGGGCTGGTGGCTTCGCTAGGTCGTGCCTATGTCGTCGGGTGACTTCGCCCGGCCGTTAGCCCGTGCAGTATTTACATTAATAATATACTTAAAATTGAGTAGGTGACAGGATGTTAAGATCTAGTAAAGTCTAAACATAAGGTGAGGCCACAAAGGGATACTAATCGTCAAGTTTAATAAACCATGCTTGCATCAAATGTGTCCGTAGTTGGACAGGTTGACCTTGCATCATGACAAGACATATAAACTTACATTTCAGCTTTCAGTGTACAACAAGACAGACCATCGAGAAGTATGCATAGATACTCCATAAAAAGCCTGTCCTGGCTAGATCTATGGGGTATGAAGTGTTCAACTGCTTTTGACTGGTATGAGATTGCCGCTTGGTATTAGCTTAAAGTTACCTCTGGTATCTGGTTAGGGCTAGGTATATGCCTAAACAAAACAAAACAAATGGTTCAAAACAGGCTTGAAACATGGGCAAGAAAGCAGGTATTCTAAACAGTTATCGATACAAGCCTAATTAAAGAATTGCTGTGGATGATGCGAGGATAGCCTTGCTCCTCTGCCCTCCAATGTTACTAATGGGCTATATAAAAAAGTTCAGCGCTAGGCTAGGTACGTTGCTTCCTCCCGTGGCTTGAGGACAAGACGTGTGTTCGTGGGGTGTCCAGCTGGCTTGTATCCATCTTCTGCTGCGGTTGTTTTTCCGGTACAGTGAGTGCACGTTAAAGTCTGTCCAGGGCTCAAGTCAATGAGAAACGGGGAGTAAGACAGTAACCAAAATGCAACTTTTCATTAGTCCTGCCTGAGGGTCTTTTGTAATTCGGGTACCTGTCTCTCGCCATGACTCTCAAGTGTTCACTAGGTGCCGGTTTACCCGCTGCGCCTTATAAGCAGTTGATGTCGAGGCGTTGGTGTTTGCAGGCTGAAACGGTCTGACGTTTGCTACACCCCAGGTGTGGTGGGACTTTGGCCTCCGATCAGTGGTGGCTTGTTCCTGTTGTGGTGGTAGGCCCAGTGCTGCCAGCACTGAGTCTATTTCCGAGGGGTCAGTCACCCGTGTTGTTGCGCCCCTGTGGGTGATGATCAGGCTTCTGGGGAATGCCCAATGGTACAGGATTGAGTACCATTGGGGGAGGTCGTCCTGGGTCACTGTTTCGGGGACCCCTCCTATCTTTATGTTCCGGCTTCTGTGCCGGTCCTTAACCGCATCCAGGCGGGTGGTGAGCAGGGTCTGGTTATGTTGTAGCTCTGCGTTTTGGCCCTCTAATTGTATGCACCGTGTGGTGAGGCCTTGCGAGTCCACCTCTGTCTTCTTAACTCGCCCCTCCATGGTGAGGATCTCCTCCCTCAGAACTGCTATGTCTCTCGCGAAGAGGGAGCGGATATTGCATAGGAGGGCTTTTATGTCTCCCTTAGTGGAGGAAAATTTGTTGTCTTCATCTGAGGATATGCTGTGTAATCCCCCTGTGCCGGGGAAGTCGTTTAACACGTCGAGAATCTGCTCTCCGGAGGAGGCCGAGACCGTATCGCCATTATGGTATGGCGCGGGAACTGCTGCGGTCTTTGCAGGACGGAGGAGAAGTCCTCCGATATCGTGAGCCCCTGCTGGTTTTGCGGCCCCCTGGATCTGGTCTGGATTTCTTTCCCATCTCGGGGTATTGTATTGTGGGTTAAGATTGTTGAGTTTTGGTCAGTTAATTTGCAATTTTCAGGCTTTTGGTTACGGAGCTCTGTTGATGCACGTCTGCTTCAGTTGGCTGTTGGCTCTGCCCCCCGGCAGTTCTGTTTTATATTTCTCCTGATACCTTGAGATCTTGCACCGATATTAAGTCAAGGAAACAAGAGAATATGATTGCCATATGTTTTAGTATTTTCTAACTGTGCTTTTTTAAGACTCTTCTTAAGAAGGTGATGGTATATGGGTGGTTTGGTTTTAATATAGATGGAGTTGCATAGTTACACATGATGTAAACAAAGAGCATATACATGTAAAGAACTTTTTTCCATGCATTCATGTTAAACTACTTTTAAAAAGAGTGACTAGCAATGCTTAATCACACAATTTCATATTGACATATTTAGTGATTTTATTGCTACAAATCGTAAAGACTATAGTAGAAACAAGAACTAATTGTGTCCGATATTTGATAAAAAAATATTCTTAACATCTACTTTATTCTGCATGTTGTACTATATAGTTATTAGTCAGCTCAGAGAATAATCACTTTATGATTTTGACTGCACACTGACAATGCAATTTAAAAGATAATGTCAGGCACCATAACCACTTTAGAATGGTTATTCCACACTTGGTGCCAGGAGTGCCCCAACAACCCCCCAAAGTAAGTAATCAAATTGCTTTAGAACCTGGGGTTCATAAGCCAGAAGCTCCTGTGCTTTGTTGAGCCAAGCCTTTCACAGAGTGCACTCAACTCAATTAAACCTTTTGACTAGTTACAATAAGAGGGGGGAGCTTGGTCACTCTCGGTATCATAACCATATCAGAACTGTATCATAACCATTCCTTTAAGAACTCCCTAAATAGATTGAATTTTGTTTGACATCCACTACACTTAAAGGCACACTATAGTCACCAGAACAACTAATGTAGCTTAATGTAGTTGTTCTGGTGTGTATAATATGCCCCTGTAGGTATTTTCATGTAAACACTGCTTTTTCACACCTTTAGGGACACCTTTAGTGGCAGTCACTTAGACAGCTACTAGATGTGCTTCCTGGGTCAGTGCTGCACATTCAATTCACGCTCTGCATTGAAACGCTGAATATTGATTCATTGCATCTCTATAAGGAGATGCTGATTGGTCAGCATGATGTTTGGCTTTGCCCCCTCCACCCCCCACCAAATCTTCCCATAGGAAAGCAGTGGATTGGCTGAGATTATAAATTCTGATGATTTTAGCCAAGGAGATGGGGTAGAGGCAGAGCCAGTGTCGACGAACCCAAGTGACATTGGGGTAAAGGTGAGTTTTTATATTTATTTAAAAGGAGTAAGGAATGCGCCCGCCACCTAAATAGTGTTTCTAACACAATAGGTTCAGGAATACACATTTGTATTCCTGACCATATAGTGTTCCTTTAAGCAACTTAGTGAAGCTCCCCTTTTAACTATCACTATAAGTTTACTTTCTCATAACTCTAAACACAATCATTTCATGAAAACAACAAAACTACACTAATCCATATAACATATATTTACCTGTTTATATTTTGTTTTGCACATTTATCTGCCTAAAATTTAGAGGAGGGCAAAAGGTGAGCGTAGAGTCTGCCCAGAACAGATATTAGCTTTGGACATATCGACCTTGAGTCATTAGGTAAGGGATGAAATTTCCTGGAATTAAGCCATTGCAGGAACTCTGGTTTCAGTTAAAGCTGTCAGCAGAGAAACAAATTTCCAGGCAGTTTTAATTTAATTCATTTAATTTTGGCACAATTTGATTAGAATGGGAGATTAGGAATTGTAGAATATTCAGTCGACGTTCTTAACATTGCACAGCATGACCTAAAGACACAGAATTGTGAATGTAAAAAGAAAATGAGGAAATGGTCATTATCTTGATATACAACATTATAACAATCTATTCTAGAACCAGATACTTGACTTCTTAAGGTTCCAGTCTAGAAGGCAGTAGAAACCTTAAAGAGAGAACAGAAATAGACAAAAGTTTTAGGAAAGGAGTGAGAGGTGAGAAAGAGAGAGAGTGTTTATGTTTGTGTGTGTTTCTGTGTGTGTGTGTGTGTGTGTGTGTGTGTGTATGTTTCTGTCTGTGTATATGTTTCTGTGTGTGTGTGTGTGTATGTTTCTGTCTGTGTATATGTTTCTGTGTGTGTGTGTGTGTGTGTGTATATCTGTGTGTATGTCTGTGTGTGAGTGTCTATAACATTTACATATACACAAAATTATGTCAAGCTCACATCTAACTAAAGTCAAAGACATATCACAAACTGATTGTTTTCACATCACAGTTCATTTGAACTACAGTTTGTTGAACTCTAAATAGGAAAGAATACATTTATAACAAAATAACAGCATTCAAAATGAGAATGCAGCATGTAAACAAAGTAACCCCATACCATGCGTGCTTATCCGACACAGCACAAAGAACATAAACCCCTTCATAAGTGATTGTATCAATTCTGGCAGGATTGCAAACTATTTAGTATTCCTTGCCCTGATGAAGTAAATTACACTTTATGAATATTATTCTGACTGATTAATCGTTTCAGGGACATAATAAAAAAGAGCATCTAAATAATCAATATTACGACATGCACTTAATAATAAACATTCATACATAGCCCATTTTAATTCACACAGTAGTGCATCAAGTAATGCATATAAGTGTGTAGAGGTTGGACAGTCTGGAGGAAGTGTGTGTGTGTGTGTGTGTGTGTGTGTACAAGAACTCAACCAAGCACAAATACACTTGAACAAAATACATCTATACAACGTACAGAATGCAACTAGAGGTCTCCCTGTATACAATGTGTACATGATATGTATTAGTGCACTGCACATGCTGTGTTATCCCTACAGACATGCAGTGATGCTAATGATAGAGTAGACGTGCAATCATTCATTACCTAAATAAATTACCAGCTACATAGTAATGGTGTATGGAACTCATTGATCACACAGGAACTTGGGCTTCTGCAGCTCTGACCAGGGTAGTGGTGAAGGTGATGACGAATTTGGAGTGTATCCTCATGGGATCTGGAGTGACGTCTTCACAGAAGCCACTCGATTAAGTCTTCTTGACCAGCCCTTCTCCTCCAGTCGTTTTATAGGACTTGGTCTTAAATGAGAGAAGCTCACACAGCCTAGCAGTCAGTGTCAGTGGGAGAGCTGTAGAAGCGCTGCTGTAACTTCACACAAGCACTACACCAGCCTTGCAGGAGACTTGCCGAGAGTTTCAGCACCTCGGATAGCAGCCGGTCCAGCACTGTGCATCTGGAGTACACTGAAACTGCCCTGTCTTTTGGACACGCAGGGTACTGAGAGGGACTGCAGCAATTCACTGTGAGTACTTTAACACTCAAAGCATTACTGCACTAACACACACACACACACAGACACACATTACTAGAGCACAAACACACACGCAAATGTGAGATTTCTAACTGGTTTTTAAAACTTTGAATTACATGATTATTACTTGATTGGACTAGTTTACAACAAACACAAACATTTGAAACATATGAATGCTGAAATAACAGTTAACCTGAAACTATTAGGAAGATGTATTAAGGCAAAACAAGTGCTATTCTGGATGCAAAGTGCTAAATGTTCAGAGGTTTCCATGGTGATTGCTCGTTATTTCGCACTTTGCCCTAATATAGCACCTGTTTTTCCTTGATAAATCTCCTCCTTCATATTGTAATTAAATATATAGTTGTAAATGATCTTTTTGTATCTGTCAAGATAATTCTAACACAAATGGTAACTTTATTCCGAGTATTTATTATGACAGCTTTGCACATCAACTTTTGTGATATATTTTGATTCTAAATTACATAGCTTGATAAGAAAAAACATAAAATAAACAAGTTCATTATAATTTCTAAAATGTGGTTAATTAACATTTTTTTTAAAACGTAAATGCTTAGTTATCATTAAAACGTGTTCTCATTTTTTAAACTCATACCTATATCATTAAAAGGTATTCTCTTTCTTGACAATTAACTTATGATTAAGAAAGCAATTGCAATAAATAGCTGGATGTACTATAAAATAAAATGCTAGTGTTTTATATTATATGTTCCAATGGAAATCTTTGTGACATTAAATTGTCATATGTTCATTTTGTTTTATGTTGTTTGGCTTAGATCACACACACACACACACACACACACACACACACACACACACACACACACACACACACACACACACACACACACACACACACACACACACACACACACACACACACACACACACACACACACACACACACTTATTGAAGCCAACAATGACAAATAGAACAATACACTTTATGTGGAATGTGTATTCATGGCTCAGGAATTTCCAAGTCCAATTTATAAGTGTACAGATCAGGTGGATATTGCAGTGGCATGCACATATAAAACTGATCAAATACACTAAGTGTACACATATAAAAACTAATTAAATACTCTTTTTTTATAACACTAATGACCACACTTTAATATTCAGCTGAATGTGTCAGATATATGTTACTTAACACATGAAGAAGAGGATAATTACTGTTTGCTGAATAACCATATGTTGCATATGTATACTATAGTAGCACACACTTATACAGACACAGATATATTCTGTATTTAGGTGTTATATATGTATTTTAACAGTGATGATGTATTTAAACCATTAACACATGTGGATTTATTAAGTTACTATATAAATGAAAATGTTAGGTATATGTTGCTGGGACATTTAGTATATGTGACATGATTTGTATTTTTGAATTAGCAGGGCTGGACTAATGGAGCATAGAAATACTTTCCACTTCCTGGTGTCTTTTACACTTTTCAGTGTTTTATATTTCCCTGCATTGGCATTACCACCCTTAGGGACCTATTCTAATAGCAGGTAAGGGCTCTTGTTCAATCCACTGACTTCACTAACCTGTTGCACTACTTCCATTTCACAGTCTTAAATAATTGAAGCTATTATAAAGTTTAGTTTAATATGCTTAATTATGCTTAATTGCTTGTGTGCTATACCTAAAACTGTATAGATAATGTACAGTAAGAATAGACGTTAGAAGTATTACAACAGTATTACAAGAATGGATGTATTAATATAGATGGTCAGTACTATGTACAGCATATAATATTACAGTATATTATTAAGGGTGTGAAGCACTGAATTAACACTTAAATAAATAGAAATTATTCACAAAACCACAAATTGCCAGGAATTCATCCGGAATTACAAATTATAGTCCAAAATATCTAAATTAGAAAATGTCTCCAATCAAGCTATGTTTCCAGCTCAGCTATTTTGAATTTAAGCATGAAATTCCCCAAGGAAAAACAGACAATTCAAGGTTTAGTGAATGACGAATCCAATGATTTCTGTTAAGAAATATATCTTCAATGCACCAGAGTTTTTTTTGAGTGAATTGACCATTGATAAGTTTACCCTTTTTTACCTGGAGATGCAAAGTTGCTCTTTACTAATATTTATAGCACAGCTGACAAAGTGTTGGACCCAATATATTTTTGTTCAATATAGGATTTCGTTTATTCTTTTTCAAGGATCTTCAAGACTCATCAACCAGTAATTATAAATGATATTTCATAAACAACAACTGGTTAAATAATGTGTGGGGGATATCATCTTTGGATGATTTTTTATCTAAAATTATTACAATACACCTCTCCATATTTTAACAAACTCACAGCTTGAAACTGGGTTTTTAAAAAGATCTGGATGGGATTAACAAAAAAGCAACATCCCAAATATCTCTACAAAATTAATTCTGAATTATATATGCCTTCACAATTTTAATTTGTGTTCTTAAATAATTGGAATTTGGCAAAATTAACTATGTTTAGAGGAAGGGAGTACCTGACAGACAGAAATCGTGTTTGTAAAGATGATTGGCATCATATGGCTTACTTGTTGAAATCTTAGAATTTTAGCAGTGGAATACGTACATTTAAATGCCGGTCAATTAGTTACATAGAAAAAAATATGAAAATAAATTAAGAATAATTCAACCACAAGAGGGCAGCTTCATAGTGGAATAATATGAGAACAAGTGTAGTTTATCAACTTTCCAACTGTGTCTGTAAAATGGTCCACATTTTGGCAGATTCTTTGCTCAAAATAATCCAAGTTATCAACGTGAGAATATATTAAAATTAAATGGAAGAATAAATCTATATTAAAGACAGTAAGAGTAAATAACAATTTACGTTTTTACACTCTTCTTCTTAGTTCAAACAATGCTCTAAAAATGCATTTTTCCATTTTATCCAGAAATCAAAATACTATGAATATCTTTTCTTTAGGGTCATCACTTTGTGCCTACATGAAATCAGTCTATTACTTATTTGAAACAGCAAGTCTTTGAACATTAATAGTCATTATTCATTTTATCTTGAAAACTTCAAATTGTTTTAGACTGATGGCAAAAATCAGAGAGATAATTGACATGCCTGGATATGTCAATAACCAGTGGCAAGCCCATGGTCCCTTATCTTGAGGTGGATGAGATACAGATTCTTCATGATGTAGCTTTTGGATAAGGCATTCTTTTTTACCAAATTTTATCTGACTGCTAACACTGAGCTAAAACTAGATTGAAACTATATGTATAAATGCCTAAATCATTTTGGAATTGTTCCTGATGTTACATATTTGTACTGAGATTTGCACTAACAAGAAATCATGAACTTTTGGTGGTAGCCAAGTATTAAGTATTGTAAAATTGGAAATCCCTAAATTGTGAACTGTTGGTGGTAGTCAAAAATCGTTAAACATGAACAAGAACATGCTAATTGAAACAGATTGATGACTTATAATGTATTGAACAAAAATGGGAATGCAGATTTACTGAATCTAAACTGGCTTATTTATAAGGTCCTGTGTATTTGTAAACCAACTGGCCACCGCTTTGATTGCCCATTGCATTGCTGTGTGCAGAAAAATACTTTTACACTTGTTTAAGTCTCAAAGAGAGAATAGGCAAACAGGTCATGCAGTGAGCTATGATATACTAACAAATGAATTTAAAAATATAGGACAATATAAAAAAGTTGCCAAAATCTCAAACCTAATAGTTATTCAATGTTAATTTGACCTGTATGTTACCGGGATCTAAAAATCACCACAATACACTGCTTAGAAAATAAACCAGTTGTCTATTTGTGTATTTTCTGTGTATATGGAACTTGAGTACTAAAAACTCAATTTGCATACTTCCTAAAGCTAACGTTTTTATATAACAGACACAAATAAAAGCATAGGAAAAGGGTAGACTTCTAGCTCCTCTTGACTTTCATTTTCTGCAATTTTGAAGAAAAAAAAGACTTTATTTGAATATTGGTCTTTATTAAGCATACATTCATGCCAAATGCAACTATTTTCTGGCATCAAATTGACAGCATGTCTACTGAAATATAAAAGCAGTTGTGAAAAAGAGCACTATGATATAGAGTTTATTTCCATTATATTCACAATTTTTCATTGAAGAAATATATTTTTAACAACATTTATAAGTACCCCAGCTGTCATTATTACTTTGTTTTTCTGTCTGTCTTTAGATTACAAGATCTAGTGCACTTGCTCTTTGTACCATTTGTCTGTGTCTATATTAATATCACAAATCTGTGTTTTCAGTGTACAAAACTGCAATACTGTTGCTGGTTTTTAAAATTAATTTTATTAATTTTAATAATTAATAAAAAAAAATGGAATAATATGGTTCCTTGTTTTGAAAGCTCAGAAACAACATGTTTAAGCTAAGTTGACACTGTTGTGTTAAATAGAATTAAACATTCAATCACTTGCTCAATCAAACATTTAGTGACATTGTTTTCTACTCAGTTTTTATTGGTTAGTAATTAGTTGACATACCATTGATCTTACAGAATCATTTAGCACAATGAATAATACACAGAGGCCCCAATTTAATATTCTTGAATAAGCTTCCCAAACAATTTAATATATTTGGATATACTTTTCAAATTATTTTTTCAAAATATTAAAAAATAAAAAAACATATCATATATAAACAATATATCAATGTATTAAAAAATTTAAAATACTTTTCATAATGTTTAATCATATTAAATGTTTATCCAAAAATATTAAATAATTTGAAAAGCTTATCCAACAACAATACATTTAACCCATAGTGTTATAGATGGATGCAAATCTATGTTTTAAAGTATATGCTCACTGAATGTAACAATTTTGATAGGTTGGTTAGAATTCTTTTTAACCATTGGTCATGCTTACCTTTTGCCAACTTATATCTTTTTGTGCAAAAAGTTGAGGCAGAACCATGGTTTTGAACAAAATGTTTTATCAAATAGTTGAAAAGCATATAATATATTAATTTAATAATAATAATATGTATATTGAATATTATGAAATGCAGAATCTCAGTCACTAGGCCTACTTGTATGGTGTATTTAAAAAAAAAGGTGAATTATAAAAAAAAAAGTATTGCGTGGAAACAACAAAACCAAATTATTAAACAGATAATGATAGATACAGATGTTTATACATATTCAAAATATCTAATCATTTCTATTGTCCAAAGTAGCAATACTTAAACTATGAATAAGTAAAATTAAAGCATGTATTATCTTTTTCTAATCCTTGTTTTAGGTTGGGAAACCGATTGCCTTTTGAGGGAGCTGGAGAACCTGATCAGACTCAGGTATCATTAAAACCAGATTCGGAAATGTTACAGAACACCCTACCAGACAATGACAAGTTCTTTCTTGACATGTCCAGAGCTGTTGGCAGGTACTTATGTGTACATACTTGTCTTATTAACCTATCATTTGGTTTTCTTCTTGTTGAAATTGTTTGCGGTAATGTTGTGCCTCCTCTTTATTACACTAATGTTATAACTGGAATGACCAGAGTAGCATATTGACGATAATGGTTCATTGACTTTACTGTCATAGTGACTAATGTCTGCCAGAGGGTTGCATATGTTATAATAAAAACAAGAGATTAAATATATATTAAAAAAACAGCAAATGCTAAAAATTTGTGCATGCTAACAATTTTTAGTTAGGCCCCATTTCTTCACCGTTAACTCTATTGGCGTAATGTAATATTGTTTTGAATTAAATTTAGGCCTCCAGTCTTGGCAATACTGATATTCCTAGTGGTTTATTAGGTCAAGGTCATGATGATACTCACCATGCCTCTGGAATTGCTAGGAATGTAGGGTCAGATTATATTTTTCAGTAAATGTATGAAAAAGAATTGTATTTGATGTCAAGTGTTCTAGTAAAGCCATTGTGGTGTTTGTTCATCATGGATGCTGCAAAATGCCAACAAGACAGATTATTATTATTCTTTGCCAGCATTATAGCTGTAAGAGGAGTTTGGGTGATGTAGTGCACAACATCTGGGGTGCCAAAAGTTACCTACCCCGGGCATAGACTCTAATTGTGTATCTCTATATTTATACTACAAGCTTACTGTCCAGGGGACCTGCCCTCCCCCACTCCCCCATCATCCTTGACAGACAAAAACCTTAATCTTCTGATTCTTAATCCATTCTATAATGGACATTTAGTAGACCGTTTATCTGTTTATCTGAATTTAAGTAGCTTAAAACTACATACTCCCCAACTATGGCCTCAATTTGATAAGTTGGATAAGGTTTTTATATGATTTGATATATTCGGATAACATTTTTAAATTATTTCTAAAAAATATTAATCTAAAATGTCATTTATAAAAAATATCAAAATAATAAAATATTAAAACATGTTTTCAAAATATAAAATCATCTTAAAAATGTATCCAATAATACTAAATCATTTAAAAGATTAGGCAAAAAACATTAAATTGAGCTCTATGTTTTCAAATGCAACTATTGTCCATTGTAGGGGGAAGGTCTACAGGATATGGAAAATATAGAAAGGATCTGCGCATGATCCTACTAAATGTGAGCTAAAATTAAGAAGAAGTAGTGAAAGTCGAGGAGCTAGCTTTGTTAAATTCCAAAGAATATGTATAACTGTAGATACTGTTGTCACGTTAAAGGAATCTGAAATATCCTCAAATCAATTATTCAAATTCATTCACACATTAAACTATTAATTTTCTAGCCAATCTAGTTCTTTGTAATAATCATCCTCTTCTCTCAAGCCTTAAAAGTAAACAGAGCACGAACCTAGAGAGCTTCACTCAGACACCACCCTCTTTCATCCACAGTCCATCCATTATGTGTGTGTTATAGCACTTGTCATCATATGTCTTGATGGTTAAAATAAATTTTTCATTTGTTTGAAAGAACTTCCAGACATGCAGATGGTCTCTTTACCAGTGGGTACAGCAAGCTTTTGGGCCAGCTTTCTGCAAGAAAATATTTAGAATCTCTAATTGGCAAAAGAGTAAGGTAAGATACAATTTGAGTCTACTTTATGATATTGAGATTTTTGTTACAATTTGTACCTTGCATATATTTTTAAAATGCCAGATCAAGCCACTGTATAGATGTATAAAGATGTTACCATGTTACCATTAATTGCTAAATGGAACATTTCTTTCCTAAGCCTTTGCTAAGTTAAGTTTTTATAATGTATGGATGGCTTTATTTTAATAATATTTTATTTGAATTCAGTTTTAATAATGCCCCTTTAACACAAAAGTGTGGAAGTTTGTGGAAAAAATTAATAATAAAAAAAAATAAAAAAACCCGTCTCAATAGTAATTGGTTCCAATTTAGCATATTACAATGGAAAATTAGCACATAAGCACATTTCTATTGGAAAATAAAGTTTTACTGATTCAGCAAAAACATGGAACTGATTAATAATGAAAAAATGTGCGATTCAATCAAGGTCAATTAAACTTTTCTATACTGAATTGGAATTAGATATTATGAAGAAATTCACTTAGCTACTACGCATATATGTATAATATTATGGAAAATAACATTGTACATTATTTTGGCTATATCTGAAAGAACTGTATACAAAGATTTGATTGTAATATAGTTTTTTTTTTTTTTCTTTAAACATCTTATATGGTTTTCCTTTGGCCAATTACATTAAAGAATACAATAATTTTAATTGCATGCATTATTTGATCCCATTGTTTTACATTATTTTTACTTGTCCTCACATTTCCAATTTTATACAATATGGTTAGTCATTGAAAGAGTTTATAGAATATTCCTGCAAACGATTTAGCATTTACCTTTGCTATCTTAGAACTAATATGTTTGATATGGGTTAACATGTAGGGACTAACTTTCAACCATCCACCTGTCCATAAAAATTGCCCTAAATAATGTTACTTTAGTTGAGGGGTAAGCAACATTTGGTACTCCAGATGCTGTGGACTCCCATAATGCTCTTACATCCATAGTGGTGACAAAACATCAAGGGGATGCCAAAGGTTTCCTATCATTGTATTAGGCCATTATGTTCTTTGGAAATTCCAGTTGAGACACAGAAGCCATTCTCTGAGAGAATAAGCAGGTTAAAAATTCAGATGCCAGATTCACTTTTTTGTTTTGGAAGACACCATCAGCACAGTTTTTGAAATTAACTTGTCTTAATTTTTCATTTGTCAATCAGCAACAATGTCGTGGAAGAACAGTCCCCAGTAAAACGGCACTCAGATGCAGTTTTCACTGATAACTACAGTCGCTTTAGAAAACAGATGGCTGTAAAGAAGTACCTGAATTCAGTCCTTACAGGAAAAAGAAGGTATTGAAAAAAATTAAGCCATTTAAGTGAGTGGAGGGCATTATTAACACTTGATCATGAATCTAATTATCTTTAAAGAGTGACCTAAAAAGATTTGTGACTAGATTAACTATAGTGTAGCCCAAAGATTAGGCATATTGAAAAATAACATTTTCTTAATGGATGCTATTACATAAAATCCATTACAGTAGCCCCTCCATTTTTAACAAAATATGTCAATGTTTGTGCTTTCCACCCCTCGTTATCTCTTTTTGTGTCTCATACTTTTTTTTTCTTTGGATATCTCTTACTTTTGTCTAGCAGGATTATTAACTGAAGTGAGAATTCAAGGTGTATTCAAAGTGAATTTCAGATTTAAACCCCATGTAGCTGAAATGGAAAAATTCTATGAGTCAGCTTGGCTTCCAGTTTGACTACTCGTGTCTTGAATTTGAAGTTCACTGTGAGTCCCTTCTCACTGGCACCCTAACGTTGTTAGCTCTCACTCTTCTGTAATATAGTAAAACCTTTAAATATGTTATTTGTGACAAGGCCTACTTAATGTGCCATATTATTATATTATTAACTATACATTATACTGTAGAGAGTTTGTAGGGATTTGGGGGATTGTAGAGATTTTGTTGTTTGTGCAGGGTTTGGGGCCAACTCTAGAGTTAATACTGCATGAGCAGAGTTTATATATTAGTCTGAATTCATTCAAAGATTTGTTGCAATAAAATGATTTATAGAACATGCCAGGGATGACAGATAGACAATGGGTGTGGTTCTGTGAGGAGCATAAGCCTCTGGTCCTTTTACTACATTGCAACTCCCCTGCTACCAGACACAGCTTCCAAGTCTTCTAATTAGTAAAAGATTTAGATTTGGGTCCACTAGGGAGGGGAGACAACTGTAGGCACTATAAAAACATAATCTAGTAAGTGCAGTGTTCCTTTAAAGAACCACAGATGTGATGGCACTCACTCGTTATATTATTTATATATATATATATATATATATATATATATATATATTATATTAATATATATATATATTATATTAATATATATATATATATTATATTATATTAATATATATATATATATATATATTTATGGAGAGAGAGAGAGTAAAATAATTATATATATATATATATATATATAGTTACACAACACAATATTTAATTTATGTGGAATTATTTTTACATATGGACATATCTCATATTTTGCAGCCTTTTTAGGAATCTGTATTCCCAAGTAGATTCATTATGCTACATAATAACAGCACCAGGCTATTGGTTAGAACTAGGTAGGAAAACATTTTGCTTCCTTGTGGCAATCCTTTGCTTATAAGTTCAATAAGGTGTTGCAAACATTTCCTAGGGATAGCGGGACATGCTAACTAGATGAAAGCACACATTTATTCACACACATTCACTGTGTGAAGTTAACATTCCACTTCACCACAGAAGTGTTCAAATTGTTTGAAATCTGAGGACTTAAACAGTCATTCAAAATAATAACAGTCGTGTCCATGTACCCAGCTTGAGATAATGCATGATTTGTGCTATTTTTGTTATCTTTCTGGAATATCTGTTGGAAATATTTAGAATAGGATCACGGTCACGGTCAAAATTATATAAAAATAATAAGGCATGTAGATTATGTTCAATTATTACTACTTATTATCACCAATTATTGGAATTTCAAATGCCTTGTAGGTTTTAGTCAATTAGAAGTGGAGACAAATTAAGAAAAAAAGGTTCCCTATAATTTTAGTGAGTCAATATGTGTAGGCACAGGTTCATCATATTTCATGTCTACAGGCAGCTGCCCTCCATTTTCTATTTGATTTGCTATACTACCATTGCCTTCCACAGTGCAGAGGGGACCCCTTTCAATTATCTAGTTTAGGTGTTTAGTAAAGGTTTTTGAATGATAATTATATTTATTCAAAGAAAGGGTCTCTGAGCTAATTTTCCAGTTTCAGAACTGATTGCCATGCTAAAAAGTGTACATAATTTGTTTAAAAAAAAATGAGGTTGTCCCAATAGATTAATCCGTAAAAAAGATTTTTTTCAGGCAAATCGGGTTTTGTCCATGTGGCTTTTAAGCATTTAAAAGAATCACTCATGATATTATTATTTTTTTAGTCAAGAAGAGATTAATCCTGCAAGCCTTCGAGAGGATGCTGATTTAAGTCAGCCGCCATTTTCAGAAAATTATGACGATGCCACCATTGATGAGTTGATCAACCACCTCCCATTGGTATGTAAAATGTTTATATACAAATAAGAAATATTTGAGAACATCAAAATGCATGCTTATTAGCCCCAGGCTAAAATCCACAGAAGAAATATTTGAAAAGCACAAGTTATCTAGAGAATCATTTTGTTATTTGTGACCAGGGTAACACACGATTTTCTCCATGATTGTTCTACTCATGTATGTCAAAATCTCAGCAATCTTTTCATGCTGCACTTTGCTTATAAAAACATACAATTTACCTACAAACCAGACAAGGCTGATTCATACAGTCCACTTCTCCCATGTTATTAATTAGTATACTGGTGGGGGGGCGGGGGCATTGAGTCATAACTCACTGGCAAAAACATTGCAGTGCTGTCCTCCATACTAGTACCAATTGTAAAGAAAAGCAAATCATGATCTTTAATTCAATATGATAAGAGCAATGATTGTAGATAACATCAAAGCTGTAGTGTGTCCACATCTGAGCATTAGAATAAACAGATATATATCTATCTTTCGAAACAAAGAATGCAATTTACAGAGTAGAAGTCTGATATATGTCAAGTGTTTTTAAAAAATAAATAAATATATAAAAATATAAATTTAAGTGACTTAATAATAGGTGAATGAATCAATCAATTAAGCTTGAATTACTATGAAACAATCAATATGCAAAACATAGAAATGGTTGCTCCATTATAGTAACATCCCCTGGATGTTGGGCAAAAGTAACATCCCCAGGATGTACTCGGAAACCAGAGTAATCAGAAGGTACCCATCCTGGCTAAATACTTTGCTGTTATTATTAAGTAAAATCAATGCAAAAATGGTAGCTAACATTTCTAATAAAGTCTAAGCCCTGATAGTAATTGTTTTCCATTCTGCAGCCAAGACATATGAAAAATATATGATACATATAAGAATGTATGTTCGTTCATGTGGAATTATGATAAAGATGCTGCTAATTTTAGGTACAATACCTACTTATGGTATAAAGAGCAGAAAACCTGAACTTAGCATTACTAAACTGTCAATATTTAAGAAATGCTGAAGCGTTGGAATACATATCTGCTCCTCATTAAGGAGCATTGGAGAGATTGGGTGCATGCGCAGCCATGGAGAATCATTGAATACAATGATTCTCTATGGTTGACCATGACGACACATGCACACTTGAAGTCACGGTACATTACGTATGAGAGTCAAGAAATAAGATTCCCAGCTCTCAAATTCAGAGGGTTTGGAGGCTTGGCTGAAAACCACCCTTCCAAGCCCTCTAATTAGTGAACTAACAGGTTTTGATGGCTGGGGAGGGGAGTTAGGGGGGTAGGACTTCAGGCACTATAAGAACTTCAATAAAATGAAGTTGTTAAAGTGCCTACAGTTCCCCTTTAAATATATGCCATTTAAAGATGATTATTACTATTATTATTATTTATATGGCATAAACATATTCCGCAGAGCTGTATAATGGGTGGACTAACAAACCCGTAATTGTAATCAGACGAGTGGAATGCACAGGAACAGAGGACTTGAGGGCTCTGCTCAATGAGTTTACATGCTAAAGGGTGTGGGGTAAAGTGAAACAAAATCAGATAGAAGAACAAATAGATACAGCGCAAACTTCAAAATGGCAGCAGACACTGGTACTTGGATACCTTAACAATCCAAGGATACAAGACAGATAAAGAAGAAAAAACATGTTTATTTGTTCTTTAAAGTGAAAGTAAAGGAAAGGGTAGAAAAGTAGGTTGGTAAAATAATATTCACTGAAGACCTAGTTATATTTATTTTTTAATAACAGTTGCAGGAGAGGAAATCCGTGTGTGAGGGTGGGGAGCTATTACCAGTTTAATTGATACTCTTTCCTATAGTGAGTTTTTAAAGATTTTCTGAAGTAGTGGAGACTGAGTGAATGTCTAACGGAGAAGGGAAATGAGTTCCACAGGAACGGTGCATCCCTAGAGAAGGTTGTTTTTGGTTATGTCAGACATTCTGTAGTTCATTCGTCTATTTAATGCCCTTGATGTTCTGTAATGAATGCTAAAATTAACCTTTTACTCTCTCTCTCTTTACAGAACCTTTGAAAAAGACCATTTGGCTGTTTAATCACAAGAACACGTTTACTATATTTTTGAGTTTGACATAGTATTTAAAACACAGATGACTTCAGTATTCAAACCAAAACAAATAATGTTGTGAGGTGAAATTTGTGAAGAACAAAATATGTTTCTTATATTTAAAAGTTGACGTTTACACTGTAAATATTACTTTAGAGATCTCTACTTACAATTGTATATAGCTATTTACTCCTTTTATCATGGAAATCATGTGATTTCATATGCTTCAAACCCTTGACTTCAATAAATGCATTGAAAAGATGAATATGAAAAATGAGGACAATGTTAAACTTTTTAGGACGAAATATAACAGGAGTAACAAATTTCAAAGATGTTCCACTAACTAATTGAATTTGGATTACAGTGCCATGACCTAAACTGATTTATCAATACAAAATAAGGAAAATCTATTTTAGAGGGGAAAAAAATCACACATTACATTGTTCATAATCACATTGTTGCACTTTTTTCACAAATTGTACTTTATCCTTTATTTTTTGTAAAATTTAGATAATTTAAATCAATTTAAAAGGCTGAATGTATCCATCATTTCAATGTTTTATTTGAGTGATGAATTAAGGATTTTGAAAGGTTAAGACATGCCTAAAGGAAGATGAAGGATAGAGATTTATTTAATGTAAAAAAAATTATCTACAACATAAATATTCAAAAATTAATTGTGTATATCTTTGCTGATGACAGCATTACTTATATATAAAGTGGATACTGGGAAATTATAATATTTTTTCAAAATGAATGTAACTTATGAAATATGCAGATAATAAAAAGATTTTATCATCACTGCAATATCAATGGTTTTGCATTCTAATTTTGTCCCGTTAGCGTCTTAGAAGATGAAACTGCAACTCTAGACAGGAGAAATCCATGCGATGTCTGAGTTTGTAATCAGTATTTAATATGCAGTAATCAATTGTTTAGGATAAATAGTAAGGTTAAATAAGTGTCGATTACCATATAAAAATGAAGTGATATATTACAAATCTGGTCTGGCTGAGGATCTCTCCTGACTTTAAGGGATCATGGTAAATTCAATAATTGCTTCTGCATTGGCCTTGGTTCATGCATTGGTATGTGCAGAAACCTTGTATATTGTGAAATTATAAATTTATTCTGCATGACTGTTCTCCAGATACCCACACTTTATATATAACATGTGTTATAAGTAGATTACATGTACTTGACCAAATTTATGTTTATATATAAATAACAATGCAAGTCTAGTAAAACAAAATACACACTCAGTTTCCTGGAAATTTGAAGCTCTGGCAACTTTGCCTTTATATAAGTAATGGAAATATAGATTAAAATTATATGAGTTCCAGGCATAACCACCACCATCAAAAAAAAATTCAGTTAGATCTTTATTGTCTGTACAGTTTATCTAAACATATCGAGTTTGCAGACAGAAAGAAACGAATGTATGAGAACTCACTGCAAAATTTCTATTACACAACCATATTCAATTTTGTTCCTTGTTAAAAATAATGCATTATCATAATTCGAAATACCTCAATAGTTAAATAGTTAAATAATATTACATATGAGACATAACATGTTATTATCACAGTTATTTGAGTCACATCATCTAGGCTTTGATTCTGAGTGGTGGTTGACTTTGGCTGGAGTGTGGTATGTTCAAAAGCTACTGGTTGGGTTGATATTGGACCCATCATTAAATACATGGATAAAAAGAATATTAGGAGAAGTAAAACGAGGGCCTGCCCAAAACATTGTACTGCCTGGTTCCAGGTAGAGATGTCGCGAACTGTCCGCCGAACTGTTCGCGAACAACATTCCACCCAATCAGCAGCAGACCCTCCCTCCCAGGAAGTGTCTGCTGACTGTGAGGTTCCGGTTCAAAGTTTACTCAATGATGACGTATAGGGGGCGGACCGGAAATCGGATATGTTCGCCCAACGTGAACACGCTATTGTTCGCCGGTGGACAGTTCGTGAACAGTTCGGCGGACAGTTCGCGACATCTCTACTTCCAGGATTAAATGCTACTCTCTCCCCCTGTGATGATGTGGGAGATGGAGAATGAAATAGGGGAAGCAGTGTAGGGAATGTATTTTGTGTGTGTTGGTAAGCCAGTGTGTCTAGGGATGCAGTGTATGTGTAAGTGATTTTGGATACAGTGTGTGTGTACTGGGAATGTTGTTTGTGCTTGAATGCAGTGTGTCTGTGTATGCTGGGAATGTAGTGTGTGTCTATATGTGCTTGGGGTATAAGGTGTCTGTGTGTGTGTGCTGGGGATGCAGTGTGTGTATGTGCTAGGGATGCAGTGTGGCTGTGTGTGTGCTGGAGATGCAGCGTGAGTGCTGGGGAGGAAGTGTGTGTCTGTGTGTGTGCTGGGAATGAAGTGTGTCTGTGTGTGCTGGTTATGAAGTGTGTGTCTGTGTGTGTGCTGGGGATTGGCTTCCTATGTGCAGCACACTGTGTGTACACTGCAGCCAATCATGACATTTGTACTTACTGTATCCACGGCATGGTGATGTGACTTCTGCCTGGAGTGTATTCTGGAGTGACCCTTAGCAGCTTTGCTCCTAGCATTTCCACTGCATCAAGGAGCTGTATCTCCTGCTGCCTGTGCTGCCCTGTGGGTGGCCAGCATGCATAAAGCACTAAGAGGGATTTTGCTGCTCCTGCTCCAACCTGGGAGCCAGCTAAGCCCACTCACAGCTTTGCCATAAAGTATATAAGTAAAGAAAACCACTGAAGTTCCGGCATAAACTGCTATTAATCTCAGAACGTCGGAACTTCAGTGATAAATGTGCATAACCCTGAGTCAACCCCAGATTAACCTCCCCCTCCCAATGCCCAGGGCTTGTGCAAGCATGCATACATCCATCCATACACCCATACTGCCTAATACATCCATACACTCATAATGCCTAATACATCCATCCATCCATACATACTGCCTTTTACATACAATCAACCATACACACACAGACCAATACATAGATCCACACACACACTTCCCAATACATACACACACTGCCTAAACCATACATCCATACACTCATACTACCTAATACATTCATCCATACACACACACGTACTGCATAAAGCATACATTGATTATTATTATTATTATTATTATTATTATTATTGGTATTTATATAGCACCAACCTTTTCTGCAGCGCTTTACAATAAATCGATAGACACGTACTGCCTTAAACATACATCTATACATACATACATCAATTTATTTCATGTGATTTAATTTATAATAATAGTGGGGTTTAATTTACATTACTGTGAACTAAAAGATTTTTTCTGTTTAATATAAAATTATATTAATATATTTTATAAATATAATGTTATATGTAAGGATCTCTTTACATGTTCACACACACTTACACACTCTCATTAACAAACACACACTCTCACTGACACACATAGTGTCACACACACACACACACACACACACACACACACTCTCTCTCCTACTGACATACATACAGTGTCACTTACACATTCTCACTAATATTTCTGCCCTGGTTATAATGTATTGTATTTGAGTCTGTGAGTATAGGGAGTATATGCAGCTGTGTATATGCAGGCAGGGTTAAAGTTAACATTAGAGGTGATTAGGGTAAAGTGGGGTTTAAGGTTACAGAGGGGTTAATGTCAGCGCTAGACTGCATAGGGTTTAAAGTTAATATCATAAAACGTTTGATAGGGGTTACTCAGTTTAGGGTTGTGTTAAATTGAAGCATTTAGTTTTAACATAGGATTAAGATAAAGGGTTTATTTCCATGTTTAGAATTTGAGTGCTGGAGTTTGATGTGCTGTTTGCAAATTGCTCACCCTCCTATGTCTTCTGTTGGCCAGTCAGTCTCTTAAGATTGATGATATCAGAGCTACAGGAGTGGTAATACAATGTGCATCAATAAGAGAGTGCCCTGCTCCTCCTGCAATGCATTTTCTTGAGTGACAGGTAACTAATGGGCTTATGAGAAGTGATCCCTCCCTCTTTCTTTCTGGTCTCACACACAGACACCGTAGCTGGGAGCATTAAGTTTCACACCATTTAAAACTGTTTCTGCAGGTCTGCTATGGAGGATGACTGAACTACAGCGGACACTGGCCAAGGCTCCTGATACTTATCTCTCCCCACCAGCATACTTAACCTTAAAAATGCACATTTTAAGTGCTGAAAATAGGTGCCCTCTACTGATCAGGGACCTGTAGACAGGTATCTACTATGCCTAATGGTAAATACAAAAATGTTTAAAAGTAGCATAAAATAAAACAAATCCGTTGAACCACCTGTTGCACTCATACCTATATTCAAGACTTACTAATCACCAAAAACAGACACAAGAAAAAATAAAAAACTAAAGCATCTAAATTCTTGGTAACCTCTCCAAAGGAAAGAATATCTCTTCTTTGCCATCCTGAATAGGACAGATAAAGACAAGCAGTTGCCTAGATCTCAGACTGGAATAGGCAACATAATACAAAATACCTGTACAGGTTACACCAAAATAAAAATTCCAATAGAATATCAGAGGATTGGAGTATTCTTAACTTGTAAATCGTCTTCACTTCTAATGGAGGCAGGTATATGTAATAAAGAAAAACGATAACCCGTAATGGTGAAGATGATCTACTACCAAGTGCAGAACAAACAACAAAGAGGTCTATAATGTAGCACTCATATCTAGTAGAGCTATAAAGCCAGCTCTGAGTATACCAGTGTGCAGCAGTGCAATCCCCACTGATGAATATGTTATTCTAGGAGTCAGTCACTTGGCATGTAGGTGGATATATACAAAGATACAAAAAAATAATTCTCTCTGTAAAACTGTACACTAGTAATTATAAAGGTAAAAGTAATCTACTTACATTTGATGGAGAAATATACACTTGCTCAGGTATTAATGCTTGGATGGTACAAACCCCACCAGGGATATAATGTAGAGTAGATACTCCAAAAGGTAGTTTTTGCCAGGATACAGATAGCAAGTGGGCAATGGTGGTATAGATGTGCCAGGAACAGTAAAAGATATAAAAAGAATTAAAACAAACAAAAAAAACTTATATGCATTAAAAAAAATCTAACAAATGGTAAGACACATAAATTAGGTAAATGCCAAGTATCTTTAATCCTGAAAATAACTAGTATAAAATAACACAATGCGTTTTGTCTACTAACTAAGGAATTTCTCAAGTATTTTTACACAGGGCTTAAAAAGGCCTACAAGTGTAAAAGAAAATGGAATAAGGTAAGTAATTATTTTACAACATAGAAGTATATATAGACCAGCAAACAGACAACCTATTAACATTGTAATGCAATGCAAAATTAAATTTAATTTATAAAGCCTCTTCACTTTGAGCAGGAATTATCTCTGCCTTCATGAGACAAAAGGGAAAGTCTAAGTTAAAATTAATATCATTATGCACCTAACCAAGACAGTTAAAATAAAAAAATGTATATAATATTGTTTTTAAAATTATTTTCACAAGTTCCTAAAATCTTAACTTTTCTGAAAGTCTTGTGGCTCAGCTTATCTGTCCTTCTTTTTGGCTTTCATGCTGGGCAGTGTCCAATCAAATGCTTCTCATTTTAGAAGCACTGAGGCCTCAGAGAACAATTTGGAAGCTATAAAAACATAGATGAAAATAAATATTAGTAAAAAAAATTACCTAACATTATTAAACTACATGTATATGGAAGAGGTCACAAAATGTGCTTTTTTTTAGGTATGTCTAAATAGAAATGTATTGTATATATAAAAAA